TACATTATAATTAAAATCTGGATTACTAGCTTTCACAAGTTCTCCTGAACACTTAGTGCTGTGATGTCTCCAGACAATTTTCATGCTTTCTGTATATAACACAGTATTTCATGCTGTCTATGTGTAACACATTACAGTGGTGCTTTGATCAATTCTCTCTACAATTCTGGCCTCAAATCAAACTGGATGAGAACCGCATTTTGCCATAAGGTCAACATGAACCTAACCATTGGATCTAATTCAGTTCTTGTCTAACTCATTTTGCTGCCAGAACTGTAGAAAGAATCAAGTTTGTGAAACGAGGCACTACAACACAATGCTTTGCACATTGCGTGCTCTCAAGAGACATTTGTTGAATCACCCAGTATGATGTTTGTTCTACACGCAGAATGAGTTTTCTCTTGAACGAAGCAGTATGTGACAGTTCATTGCACAGCAAGTGACTTGCCCAAGCTCTGCCTTGCTAAGTAGCAGGGTCCATGGTGCTCTGAGACCAGTGTGCCTTCCGTGGTTCTTTCTAGGAAATCTGTGACTTGTTCAGATCTGTCACTCAGGGTTCTCTTCACTCACTTTGCACATAGACTGCATTTGACTGAGAAATACAGAGTTGATATTCACTTTGATTACAAGCCACACATCTCTTTGCTGTGTTCTTTAAATTGTACAGAAATCATTTTGTTTTACCAAGAAATAGATATCATTGAAGATAGAGACACTTTCTCTCCAGTATTTTCTCTTGCATGTGTACAAAAGAAGCATGTTTTCACAAATGACAAATTATTTTTGTGTTTGCCTAAGTGGTTAGAGCAGACAGCTCAAGCTCGGCTGTGCATTATAACCACCTGGCACATTTGAAAATATTCCAACACCCAGTCCTCACACCCCCAAAATTAAATGAGACTATTGGGGAGTGGCATCCCGGCATCAGTATTTGTAAAGGTCCCAGATGATTTCATTGTGCAGCTTCAGCTGAGACCTCGAAGTGACAGAGCAATGAGCTCACACTTTTTGCTTAATGTGTTCTTTTTTCCAACCACACGGTGGCAGCATCACAATACAGTGCACATTTTAGGCCCTGTGTAAGTAGACGTGGGGAAATTATATGTCTAACACTAATTAATAGCTTTTCCAGTGTCCCTTCTCCTAGAGATGGAGATAGGATTAACTTTTTACCCGGATATTCTTTGTTGATTTGTTTTCGTAACTATCATAGTCACTTTCCTGTTGCTGGACATAATACTCAATACCTGCAACTTAAAGAAAGAAAGGTTATTTTGGTGCCCAGTTTCAGGGGTCTCAGTTCATGCATGATCTGCAGGCTCCAACGGAGAAACAGCATGGTGGGAGAGCCTGGTGGAGAAAGCTGCTCAGGTCAAGGTTACCAGGAAGAAGAGAGGAAAGGGAGGAGACCTAGAAGGAGATCCACTCTCCGGGTCATGCCACAGTGACCCACCTCTTCTTACCAGACCCCAGTTCCTGACAGCAAGTTGGCTGTGTGTTCATCAGTGGGCTGATCTAGTGATGAGTACAGCACCCTGTGAGGTAATCACTTTTCAAATACCCCCAAGCGATTGGGAAACATGCCAGATCTAAACCTTAATACTAAGTAAACTTTTAAGTACATTTATCAATGGATTAAATTAGTAAGAATTACAAGCCATATTTGCAAATACAAAAAGAGAGAACCAGACAGACTTGAGTTTAAGTATTGCCTTTACCACTCAAATACAATTATTTTACCTTTTTGTGCTCCATTTGCACACCTACATGAGAGAGGCTGTTATAAAGATTAAATGAGACAGTATATCAAATCAGCTTCAGAAAAATAGATGATGGAGATGTTGAGAGAAAAATGACAGCGCTGTTATATAGTCAGTTAACAAAGTCCAGAACTACTAGAACTGATGGACTAAGTAAAGTGTCAGGATACAGAATAAGCACACAAATTTCAGTAGCATTTCTATACTCTAACAATGAACTACCATTCCATTCCCCAGTCAGATTTTTAAATATTTTTTGTAGGCCATGCAATAGCTCCCCACCTCTTCTCTCTACTTTCTGTTATAATTCTTCAATCCAAGTATAGATTTGGCACATACTAGATGCCTAAGACCTTTGTTGAATGACTAAATTTAATAAATGAACAAATTAAGTTTAATATTTTCTAGCTCATAGTGATCATGTATTTGTTCATGTGTTTATCTCATTTAATTCAATTTGAATATGTATACACAATGTCATCAATACAAAATATATAAACTCAATATTGTTATTATTTATGGTATCCATACATGAGTCCATAGTTCAATTTCTACAAGACTTTCAACTGAGAGTAAAAATCAATTTAAAAAATAACATAAAAATATCTTGAGTCTTTTCAAGAATGAATGAAGATCACAAAGCCTGATAGTTCTGTACACACTACTCATTTTTCTTTATCCCTGATCCTTATTTCTTTTTTATTTACATTGTTACCTAGCAAAACAGATTTTTTTTGTATTTAATAGGATGGGAAAATAGAAAAGCTGAGCAATCAGACACCAACTCTTCTTTTTTTTTTTTTTCCAACTTTTCTTAATAGATGGAGGCAAAGAGTGTTATAGATCATCACACATTCATGATTGCTACCCAAACACACACACGTGTGTGTGTGTGTGTGTGTGTGTGCTATGACATTGCTTTTTTGGACTCTTGGTTAGTTACTCTTTTATACTGTCATGTAGAAGACATCTTTATGTGAAGGTACCCTTCTCCAATAAGTGACATTTGCCTCCACTCTTTCTAAACAAAACAAAACAAAAGCAAAAACACAAACCTGAACATATAGCTCCTTTGCAGAGGTCCTTTGATAGAAACTATAAAATGTGCCTAGATTCACTGAAGGGAAGAATCCTGGACTCAGCACTTTGGTTTCTCTCTGTGCAGTTTGTGGTTATTCTGTGTACTTCAGGCTTCATACATGAGCAACAGCTGTGTGTGGAAGTGCCAAGAAAAACCATCTCAAAATATCTTTGTTGCAGGCAGAAAATGGCATTTAGGAACTTCAGCAGGGACTGCGCTCTTGAACTATGTTTAATTTTGAATCTTGAATGGAAAAATCCAATGGGAAAGCCAGTCCCATGGGATCCTGAGTTGGGTCTACTGTTAGAAGGAAAAGGTGATCACAAAACACAAAGCCCTGGGGTCCCTGCAAGCTGTTCATGCTGTCCGGCAGGGATCCTGGATGTGGCCACTTGGATGGTGTTATGCATCCGCAGGAAGAGGCACAGCAGGAAACTGCCATTTGGAAGAACATTGTGGCCAAACCAGACTTTGGCTTTGCAACAGCTGATTTAGATTATGACTTCACAAATTTTCAAGATTAACATTCTTTTACTTGTTTACTCATGAAATCATAATATTCTTATAATTTGGAAATCCTTTACAGTTTGGGGCAGAACATCCTACCTAAAAGTCAAATTGGCAGACCCTGACTCCCCAGTGTCCTCAGCTTGATCTTGTCTGTACTTGTTCTCACAGTGTCACAGGGTTAAATGAAGGGCTCCTTTGCTTAGCTGTCAGTGTGCTGACTGCTGCTGAGTAGCTAGTGTTGTTCAGTTAGCCACATCTGAGTAGCAGCAATGTTTAAAGCATTCTGCCCCAGGAGTGATCATGGGCACTACAGAATGTCTGCCCACCAGTAGTTATTTCTCAACACCTCAGCTCTTTGCCAACTTGGCTCCTCCCAGCCGAGTAGTCTTCTGTTTTCATACCCAGGCACTTCTGAGGGATGTGAGCTGCCCGACACGCCAGGGTTAGGATGACATTCACTTCTCTCACCGTTCGGGCTACCAGAGATTGTGAATGTAGTAAAGAGCACTGTGAAGAGCTCTGTGAAGTCAGAGCTTTCTGAACTGTGTCTCCAAAGCCTTCCTTCTGGTAGCCATCTTTGGAGGATCCACATCCTAGCAGGTCTGAGTCAATCTTACTGAGTAAATCTTTTAGTTTCACATGAAGCATTTGGCTTGTTGGATAACAATGAGTTCCAGGCTTCTCAGTCTCAGAGGACCAGATATTTTTTTTCTCCTCTGCATTCAGTCTGGTGTATGTTGTGTAGATGTCCTGTCTCACCATTTTCTGCCTTGTGGTGATATGATTTTTGGAGAGATTTTTTCCTTTCATTGTCTACTGACTTAAATTGGACCTACCCTCATGACTGTGGTAGATCTCTCTGAGTCAAAATATTAAGAAAACAAGACTGGGGCGTTTATTTGGGCATATTTTTCTGGAAAGACATACAGATGTGTGGAAATCTTTCTCTCCACATCCAACCCCATGTAACAAGAGGAATACTGACGGTATATAGCAGACCAAAGGCTCTGTTCCATCATTTCTCTAACCTAGGGGGCTCTGAGGTGTTCAAGGTGACCTGCTTCTATAATCAGCTGGCGGAGGGGATGTACGTTGGGAGACAACTGTATTTGAAGGTATTTTATGATGTTTTGAGAAAAATAAAAGATTAGTAAATAATCTAAGTGTTTCCTTATAATGAGGACTGATACCACGGTCTATTGAGAAGCATTATAGAGTCTTCTTCAGAGAAGGTGCAAAAATGGAGCAGATCTAGTCAATCTGGGAGAGTCTTAGTAGGATCTGTTATGGGGCACTTGAGCAGAGGAAAGAGCGGCCTCTGTGACTTTGTAGTCGGGTGTTGGGTTTGAGTTTCCAAGTTCGGTCATTAGTTGCTGAGCTCTGGATTCTGAACCAGGAGGTGTGGGGTTGTAAGCTCTCAGGATGGGGATCTGTGGCCCATCTTTATTAAGCAGCAGTATTGTGATACAAGCGAATCTCCCATCAGTGTGTGTGGAAACTTTAACTTCTGAAATACTATCACTACTCCATTTTGTATAAGGTTGTGATCACCACGAAAATCAATAATACCAAGGTATTCTCGTGGATTGTTAAGAGTTTAATTATGTGTAGATTATTTACAGAATTTATTCTTTGTTTTCATTCTGCAGCCTCCACCTCAGATTTATGACAAACAGCTGGATGAAAGAGAACACACCATTGAAGAATGGAAAGGTGACTCTGCTACTCATAAGTGTATATTTTTTACTTTATTGAAACTCGGGACACAGAAAGTATCCAACACTTCTATATCCTATACTTCTGAAATAGAAAGTACCCCAAGACCTTTTCTTATAAAGTAATTTACTAAAAGATGATATTTTGTTTTATTTTAAAAGATGATTTTTAAATTGTCCTCTTAGACCATTTTTAAAGTTTCTAAAACTTCATCTGTCTTCTCATACTGATGGAAAATTTGTGTTTGCTCAAGAATGAAAGGAATTAATTATTGACACCTTTGCAAATGGATTGTTGAAGTGTTTGTTGTGGAGGGCAAGGTTCAACTCAAAATTTCAAATTTAAACTTTCCTGTTTATATGGAAAACTTTTACATAAAACATAAAATTGAATGTTTTTAAACTTTAGAAAGAGGAAGATAGTTAGTACATGAATTCATCCACAGAATGCATAACATTTGAGTGTTAAAATAGAAAATAAGTGCACCTCAGTGGCTTATTTCTCCTTAAATTAATAAAAGGGAAGAATGAATGCCTTGATCCTTTTTTTCAGAAACACTTCTCCAAACTCATGTTACATCTTCAAAATAGGTTGAAACAAAGCAGAAAGGTAACTCAAAGTTGAAAATCATTGTTAAACTAATATAAATAACTACAGAGTAGAACAGTTATAAGAAACCCGAAGGTGAAGATATCAAATGATCAGATCAAAATAGGAAGAAACATAAATGGAAAATTTTAAGGGAAGGGAAATTTAGCTACCTTGAAGGAATTAATAAATCTAAATTGGGAAAAGAAAAACAGTAAAATACCAAATAGGGCTATAAGAGGAAAACAAATGACAGAAATAAGCAAAGCTTACTAGGAGAGGAAAAAGATTTTCCTGGGCAAGGGACCATGCTGATGAAGATGGAAAACTGAACAAATGCAAAAAGTAAATCAATTGCTTTGATCTAACTGAGTTTCCAAGGTTCATAAATAGGTAAGAGAAAGATGCAGCCATCATTTGAGAAATATGTAGACTAAATTGGAGCAAGAAGTATGCATAAGAGATGATGATTATATGAGCCGTAGGCTACTGCAACGTAAGAACAAGGAGAGCTGAATAATTTTTAGTGAAAGGGAGAAAAATTTATAGAACCTAAGATCCATTTTTTAACCTCTAGCTATGAGGAAGACAAAAATGGATGCCAGATTGGGAATGAATAAGATGAATTTTTAGTATGTTGTATTTTAGGCGTGTTTAGATTTGCAAATCTAAGATATGACTCTGAAAGAAAAATGATGTCAGAGATGGAAGGGAATAATTTAACGTTGTGAGAAATTGTGCATCTGTTAGGGTGTACATATTTAAAAATTGGTGTTCAAAAGCAGTCATCAAAATCCTTGATAAATAGCATGAGAGTATATCGGAAGTGCCCACTCACTGAGATTTCAGAAAATCGTATAATATATATCTTTCATACATGCATTTATTAACTGTTTTATCCATCCTAATTGCAAGGAAAACTAGAAATAGAGGAATAAGGGACCTCAGTTGATTTTTTAATCTACTCAACCCCATTGAAATATTGTTATATGTTATGAATTAATTTCTCTGTGGATTAAGAAACATTTGCTGAATATAGTAACACAGATCACTGTTTCTTACAGAACTTATTTACAAGGAAGTAATGAATTCAGAAGAAAAGACTAAAAATGGTGTAGTAAAAGGACAGCCTTCTCCTTCAGGTACTCACTCTCAGTGAATAACCCATAAACCAGTACTTCGGTTTGTCCTTGACTTCCCAGGAGGGGTTGCAACCAGTGACATCACTCCCTGAATGTGTGAGCAAGTATTGCAGGACGGTTTCCCTGTGCTTTTAATTTGGTTTATTCTGATATTTAGTGTGACATTCATTCCCATTATTCTGATTATAATTATTTAGCACAGAAGTTCTTTTAGAACTGACTTTTTTTTTTGGTACTGGGGATTGAACTCTGGTCCTTGTGCTTGTGGGGCAGGCGGCAGAACCACTGAGCTAAGTCCCTGGCCCTAGAACTGATTTTAAGAGAGTAACAAATGCTAAAGAAACATTAATGTTGGTTGCTTCAAGCGTAAATGCTATTCATAAAACACAGAGACCCAAGGTCCTGTTGACTACCAGATCAATGTAGAGGTCAGGAATTCCTCCAGCTCCAACTTCTCCCCTCTTTCATTTTCAGAGTCTGAACTCTTCTTAAGGGTTGGTGTGACTATAGTTGAAGCATCTACCATATGTGTTGTATGATAGTCACCTTTCTGATACTGGGACAAAATATACCTGACATAGGCAACCTAAAGGAAGAAATATTTATTTTGGCTCATGGTTTCAGTTTATTTTCCACACTCAGCAATGGGATCATGTATGGTTGAGGTTAGCACCGTGACAGTCCAATTGCCTAGTCTCTAGCTAGGAGTCTCCAGTCCAGTCAAGTTAACAATCAAGATGATAGTTACAGTCAAGGTCCCTTGAAGTAATTTGCCTGTACTTATTAATGGTAATATATTTTTTCCTAAGATGGATGTTCTGAATATAAAGAGTTTTAGAAAAGTGGTTTATTTTCAATTTTAAATTACCCTCAGATCCTGCTGACAAGAATGTAAGGTGTAGATGACTAGTTTAGAAGAAAACAGATTTATTAAATACCTTTAATAAAAAGTATTTCCCATTCATTGTGAATTGTTTTAGGAAAAGGGATATAGGATAAATTAATCAGCTATTCATGCTGATAGTACTCTGAATCACTAGTTTGGATCCACATGCAGCTTGACACCCAGACAGGTCCTTCAAGCAGACTTGAGGCAATATTCAGTTCTACCCCAAGTTTTCCCCAGTGAGGGCAAAGGGGGTCACTGGCATTGTCTGCCTTGCCCACCCTTGTTACTCTTTGTACCATCTGGATTGAGTCTGCAGAAGTTGTTTCTAAATTCTCTATATGTTCTCTCTGCTGCTGATTAAAGAACTCCAAGACAGACTTCAGCATCCATCCAGAAAGATTCCTTGTGTTAAGAATTCCTATAATAGAACAAATTTTCTTATAACTATTAAGAAGCTGAAATACCAGGATCTAGCAAAAGATGACAACATTTCATACTGGGTTGGAGCACATTTTAATAGAATAGTAGAATAGTAGAAGCTATTCTACTGATCTTGACTTCAAATAATCATTACTTCATTTCCTTTCTATACTACCCTGTTTCAAAAGACTTTTCATATCGTCCCAAAAGAATAGGATCTTTTAAAATTTTCTATTAGTCCCCATGTTTAAAATATTGGACCTCTTGTCTTATTATCCCTTACTTATTATAAGTTCACTAAGAAGATTATATATATTAATCTTGGCACACTGCTATGTGCTGTGCCTTGCAACAATAGTAGCTCAACAAATATTTATTAATTTGAAAATTGCTACTCAGCTCCTCTCTCAGCATGTTGCTTGATGCTATTCCAAAAACAGAATTCAAGATAGGATAATAGCTTTAATTGAGTACACAATTCAGTCAATTCTTGCATGATGATTACAACTATTTAGTCACCCTAATGGTTACCTATTAGATAGTTACCTGGTTAACTATTTAGTTACCAACTATTCATCATGAGTATAAGTGGGTCAAGTGCCAAATCTAGGAACTGTCACCTTTGACACTTGTTCATGCCTCACACACTGGTTTGCTCCTTCACATGGTTTTTTGATTCATTCATTTTGGAAATGTATATTTGTGATTATTTTGCAGGACCATTTTCTTCTGTGTTGGTGATTATTTCTACAATACACAGTTAATGTTTACCTAAGTGAGAAGTTTAAAACCCCTTTATAACCATGCCAACTACTTGTAACAGTCAGAGGTTATCTACCTTTTACATGTACCTCCACTACATAGTTGACTGACTTAACCAATTTATAGTTAAAGTGATTGTGGATTCAGTCTTTTACTAGGAAATCATTTTAAGGAAAACAATTCATGACTAAAAGTTGGCAAATTATATGTGTTGTATATCTTATGTGACATCTTTATCCATGACATATCTGCATGTATTTACATCACATAGAGGCTGTAGAGCCGCTGAGTGTTAGCGCCTCTTCTTGTCAGCTCGAGAACCAGTTGTGTACATCTTCTCAAAGTGACTTTAATGACCTCATGCTGATAGCTTCAATCAGCTAGGGAAATTTACAACATGGAACTTGGCAAGACTCTACACAAATCAGGACATTTTTCCCCCTGGAGAGCCACTTGTTAAATTTTTATTGGTGCACCACTGTGTACGTGTGTGCAGTAAATTATGCTAGAAAGAAAAAGCAATTACTAAAACATCTTCTGAAAAGTTGAGTTTTTGGATTTTTCATGATAGTCACTTTTCCTCATTAATAGCTACATACCATATTTTATTGTTTAAATAGCTAGGACAAAGTAATGTTACAGTACAGATTCTCTTACTATTCAGTGGTAATCCCATAGCAAGGAAATCAGCTAATGTAGTTCCTCAGGGATGAAATGGTCTCAATCCCCAATCTTGTTGTAGGAATGCTTTAAAAATGTAAATAGGGCCGGGGATTTAGCTCAGTGTTTCCACCACCTGCATTGCAAGCACAAGGACCCAAGTTCGATCCCCGGTACCAAAAAAAACCACAAAAAAACAAAAAACTTAAATAAGAGATTAAATGCACATTTGCATAGTAATTTATAGATTTGAAATTCAATGATTGAATTGTCATATATCAATAAGGAATACATCTAAACTTCAGATACATTCCTAAACAAATAATTTTACCCTCTCCTGCGGTCCAATTTCACTTGCAGAGTGATTTCTTTTCAAGAATAGTATAGCTGTTTGCCTCCTAAATTGATTTGTAAAGACTGCTGAGGGAATAGTAGTCCATGAGCAGAAGTTAATTTTCCTCTGAAAGCAGTTGTTACAGAATGTTAAAGCTGGAACAAATATAGGAGATCATCTAATCCAGCAATTCTCCGTTTGTTCTCCACCTCTATTCCATGTAGAAATAAAGTTCCCTCAGGGAACAATGACTCACTGAGACAAGATGCTTAGCACTGGGTAGGTAGAGATTTTTTCAGAATGTTTAAATTAAAGACAAATCTGCCCTAGTGCTTTTAGTACACACCCCCTCCTTTCCAGTATGGTCAATGTTCCCCACCATGGGAGTAGATCTTTCCCAGCTAGAGTCACTCATGCAGTCTAATAAGTTGTATTTATTTTTTGCTAAAAAATCTTCAAGCCCAGATATGTTGGGAGGCTCAAGATTGTGCAGAGAGAAAAGAATATCTGTCAGTTTTTTTTCTTTTTAGTTTTTATTTTCATTCTTTGTATATATCTTTTTGTTGGTGGTGGCAGTTGGGGAGGGAATTGTTGGGAAAATAATTTCCTTTTAAAGAACAGAGCAAAATTTCTCCTGGTAACAGTGACTACTTTTTGGTTAGATAACTTCTGTCTTGGAAATTTTCACTAGAGTAAATTATTTTGTATTGTGAATTGCAATGTTTTAAAATGTTATGGCTTGTGTCTAGATATCTCCCCAAAGCCTCATGCAGTTGTGGGTGGGGCTTTTTCCGAGGTGGCTGAATCTAGAATGTGTGATTGATTCATGGTGCAATGCTAGGCTCATGGATAAGATTTAAGGGATAGAAAAACCTGTGGTCATCCCTTGTTGCTTTTGCTGTCTTCTGCCACCATGAACTGTTGCTCCTCTGCCATGTGCTATCCTGCCTTGGAGCCAGCTGATTATGGACTGAAACCTCTACAGACTGTGAGCTAAATAAACCTTTCCCCTTTAACTTTGGATGTCAGGTATTTTGTCTCAGTAATAAGAGAAAAGTAACTAAGACATGAAGTAAAGTTGAAAGTGGCTAATATCCCTCATTTGCAACTCTATTAGTATTTTTACTTTCTTTAAATGTCATTTTTATTAAAAATATGTATTGCTCCATAGATGGGAAAATATATTATAAAATGCATCTCTCCCCTGGTTCCTTCTGAGTAATACAGAAAGAAGGTTCTCGAGATGCTGAGATGTGCTAGGCAAGTAGACATTACAGTCAGAGTTAGTCCGGCTCAGTTCTGTTTAAGATTTTCACAAACTTCTTGGCAGTAAACTAATGTGAAACCAAAGTTCTTATTCTGTCCATTTTATTTGTGATTGTTTTTATGGTTTGCAAAGCTTGTTTGTTGCCTATATGAAAATAGACTTGGATGGGTCATGTGAAAGCCAGAAGAGACTGTAGTCACTTATTGTACTGCAGTAATGAAGGGCATGCAGAGCAAAAATTACTCATTGAACAGTGGTAAGATCATTAATATTTAACAATCATCTCTAAAAAACAACTGATTTGTAACACTTGTCAATTTTTGTGGTATAAATGTTCTTACTGTGACCAATTGTCCGCTCCCAGTGTGACACCAATGAATGCAGAGTGCGAAAGATGCTAATAATTAGCTCTAAGAAGCCACGGGGCATTACCACCAACACACCAAGAGGCAGGCAGTGCACTTCATTCTCCCTTCAGAGCAGTATGGAAAGGCCACTCCCATAAGGCAAGCACATGGGATGGAAAATTTTAGAGAGGAAGCACTGGAAGAAAAGACCTCTCTTAATTTTTGGTGTAAAAAATCAGGTACAGTAGTCTGTGGAACCCTAGAAAGGCAGATTTTATATGAAGATTTGACAGATTCTGAATTTTGAGTGAGTGAAGGCTAATTGTAAATTGACATTCCATATTGATAGAGGCTGGACTCTTCTGACAGCATAAGGATTACAGGGAACCAGGTGATCAAGACAAGAAAAACATATGATTTTCCTTGGCCAAGACAGTGTAGCATCATTTTATCTATTTAATTCCAAGTCCACTGCCAATGAGACTCTTTATTCAAATAAACCAGTTTTAGTTCTATTTACTAGCAATGAACAAAAACAATTCCATTTTCCATTATGTCAGAAGCAAAAAAAAAAAAAATCCTTAAGAATAAGTTTAATAAAAAAGTGCAAAGTTTGTACTCTGGAAATCACAAAAACACTGTTGAAATTAATCAATGTAATTAATTAAGTTAAAGACGGCCTAAGTAAATGGATAGATGGTCCATTATTCTTGGATTGGAATACTCAATATGATGAAGGTGAAAATACTCCCCCAAATTGACTTTAAAGTCAAACACTATACAAAAATGATGATTGTCTTCTCTGAAGAAATCTGGTCTGAAAATTCAGGTGGAAATGTAAGGCATCCAGAGTAGCCAAAACCATCTTGAAGGAGATAAAGGGTTAAAGAAGCCTTATTTCCAAAGTTAGAGCAAGACATATACTCAAGATAGCCTACTAATTATATGGAGATGTATAGCAATAGAATGGAATTGAGAGTCCAAAAATAAATCCTCGCATTTGTTATCAAGTCTTTCTCTCTTTTTTTTTTTTTTTGGTACTGGGGATCGAACTTGTGCTTGTGAGGCAGGCAGCAGAACCACTCAGCTAAATCCCCAGCCCTTGTTCATTTTTGACAACTGTGTCAAGATAGTTTTACAAGGAAAAAATAGTCTTTTCAACAAATGGTGTTGGGGCTGAATAATCACTTGAAAAAGAATGAAAGTGGACCTCATCCTATGCAAAAATGAGCTCAAAATGGATTATAAACTGTAGTGTAAGAACTAAAATTATAAAATTCTCAGATGAAACTATGGGATTAAATTGTCATGACCTTGGGTTAGGAAATGCTTTCTTAGATATGACACAAGAGGCACAAGTGACAAAAGAACAACTAGATAAATCTGACTTCATCAAAACTAAAAACAATTGTGCTTCACCACTGAAATACATTATTCGGTACAATTAATATGTGCTAATAATTATAACTAAATATTTGTGCTTTAAAGACACCTTCAAGAATCAAAAGGATTATTCATGGGAGAAAAATACTGACCAGCCGTATACCTTCGAAGGGCTGCATCACAATGATATAAAATGCTTTTACAATTCAGTAAAAAAAAAAATTACCTAATTAAAAACGGCTAAAAGATCTGAATAGACCACGAATCAACAAGTACATTAAAAGATACTGGACACCGTTAGCTACTAGGCAAACACAAATCAAATAATACACTTAGAATGGCTATAATCATTAAAAAATTACAATAGGAAGCATTAGTAAGGTGAAATTGTAATGCTAAACTTTCTGGTAGGATTGTAAACTTGTGCACCCAAAAATAGTTTCAAAAATAGTTTGGCAGTTCCTCAAAATGAATGAACTCAAAGAGAATAAACATAGAATTATTCTGTGATGCAACAATTCCATTCCTTGATACCCAAGAGAAATGAAAACATGACCATATAAATGTTGTACATGAAAATTCATAAAAACATTGTGTATAATAGTCAAAAAGTCTGGACAACCCAAGTGTTCATCAAATGCCCGCTAATACACAGGTAAACCAAAATTAATACATCCGTATGATGATGGACTATTATCTCTCTGTATAAAGGGATGAAATACATGTCACAGCATGAATGAACCATGAGGATATTATGCTTTGTGAGAGAAACCAATCATGACTGATATCATATTGTGCACTTCCAATTACATGAAATGTCCAGATTAGACAATTTGTAGAGACAGAATGTTGGTTTTCCCTAGTCTGGGGCTGGAGGGTAGGCAAGAAATGCAAACCAATGTTTCTCTTTGGAGTGATGAGAGTTCTACAAGGTTGATTGTGGTTATGGCTGTGCAACTCTAAATATACTAAAAAACTCAAATTACAAATGAAATTTATTAAGTACATAGTATGTGAATTAAATCTTAATAAAATGCTTACAGAAAGATATATAGACCTACTTTCATAACTCAAGTCAAAACTAAATCTGGACTGCAGCATCATGATTTGAAAGACATTTGTAGGAAAGGAATAAATCATCCAAAGAGTAAGAAAGAATAATGCAATAATGCAGTAAGAAAAATGCAATCTCCCTGTTGGGCCCATAATTCATCAGGCATTTATTAGTCTTGTTTTCAATCTTAATCTCTACCCTTTAATAAAGATGAGGAAAAATTGAAGAGGATTCCGAGAAGTCCATTTTAGTAACACTAAATGCTTAGATCCCAGAGCTTATGAAAGAACCTAAAAAGTGTTGGTGTAATTTAATTCATAAATTACAGCTGGGAACTTGCATTGTGTATGGAGATCAAAAGTTATTCGTTACCATGAGAGGCATTGCACTAGCTCTGCACTATTTCTCTAAGGAACATAATTTTGTAAAGTTGAAATAAAGTTAAGCCAGGTAAGTTTGTATTACATGTTGTTTTGATAGTGAGAATAATTATTTATACAATTTAGTAAAGCATTAAAAATCTCTTCTGAAACTGAAGGTGGTGGTACATCCCTAGAATCTCAGTACTCTGAGTTCCTGAGGCAGGGAGATCACCTGGTTGGTCCATTAAGCAACTTAGTTAGATCTTATCTCAAAATAGAGACAAAAATGTCATAGGTCATTCCATGTGAGGGCCCTAAATATAATTTCCAGTACAAAAACCCCCAAAACTCTTCTAGAGACATTTAAAGGGTATTGAGAATTTTAGAAGTTTAAAGAACATGAAAAATGCTTAAGCTTTTCTGTATATGAAAACAGTGGAGTACAAAGAAATACATATAATATGTTCAAAATTAGGGAAACTTCCTTGCAAAAAGACTAGAAAGATATATACCCAAAGCTTAATAGTTCCTAGCATTAGTTTGAGGATCAGTATGTGTTATTTTATTACTTTTACGCATTTCCCATTGTTTAAATAAATATATTTATAATCAACAAGTAAAACCCTAAGCACATGTAGGATCAAAGCAAAGTGTCATTTTTTAGGCTTCCAGATCCTCCCTGGCTCCTGTCACATTTTCATCATGTTTTTCCCATGGGCAAGAAATGTTGCCTCCAGGCACAAGAAATATATGGGTCCTGCTGCTTCTTTGTTTAGTTTTGTTTAATAGTTTTTAGGTCTATGTAATGACACTATTTTATTTTGGACTTATTATTTTTACCAAATCAATCTTGCATACTGTATTTTTTAGTGAGGATTCTTAATCTCTTACTAGGTGATTTTACTGTAGACATTGTTATTAGCAAGCTGTTTAACAAATCACATATTTTGTCACTGATATTGCCTAGGTATAAAAAACACAGAAAAAGGAAATTGCCCACTCCAATGAGCTAGGGTTTAATTACATTTTACAGTGCCTTTGGTTCATCTTTTCCTTCTCAGAGATATTGTAACTGAGCAAGTTTTTAACTGAACACGCTTCTTCTTGAGTTTCAACATTGTTATGTTCCCACAGAGCCAATAAATAATTTTTCAAATCTAAGTTGAAAATTCAGAGTCATTTGCAGAGCCCAATAACTAAACCAGCTGGAACAGAAATACATAATCAAAAGTTATGCTCTGACTTCTATTTTTTGTACCTTTCGTTAAGCGGTCTACTTTGCTTTTCAATGTGGATTTTAAACTGGATATCATTAATGACTATGTAATAATGTTTACATTACATACTTTCCTTTTTCTAGACCTGTAGTCTCCATGTAATTCAGATTTCTGCCTATATGTCTGGGATCAGTCCCTTTTGTGGGTTCATCTTAAAAACATCCAGCATTGAAAACATACAGGGTCAGATTATTACATTAAGGGATTTTATTTATCTGTCTTCTCTATAAAGCAGTGTTTTTCAATTCCCCATTCTTTATACAGTTTCTGGGTGGCTATTTAAAAATGCAAAAACCTTGGGCTATCACACAGGCTAATTATATTATAATAATGGAGGACTTGGGGTTGTGGGGATTGAAGGTGCTATGAGTGTGTGTGTGTGCGCGCGCGCGTGTGTGTGTTTAAAGTGCATTGTGGGTAATTGCTAATACAGATTGAGATTTGATAGCCCTGCAGTAGCCTTGAATAACCTGTAACCAGGGACTCTGCGCTGTTTCATCTTGATTTTCACTATCTGACATAGTTCCCCATATGGGTGATTCTATGAATGTTTGCAGAATGAATCCCCTCTTATGTATGTCCATCCAGACCTCTTGAATGGCATTCAGCTGGGTCTGGTTCCAGATTTAGTCATGTTGATCTTCATTTTCTTAGCACAGGTGCAGCAGTGAACAGCAGTGAGAGTCTCCCTCCATCTTCGTCCGTCAATGACATCTCCTCCATGTCCACCGACCAGACCCTGGCATCTGACACTGACAGCAGCTTGGAAGCCTCAGCGGGACCCCTGGGTTGTTGCAGGTGACTAGCCGCCTGCCTGCGAAACCCAGCGTTCTTCAGGAGATGAGGGGATGGCACACACACTCACCCACACACACGGACACGTACACACACACACACACACACACACGTAGAGACACACGTAGAGAAATCAGCAAAGGAGAGAATCCAAGCCTACAATGGAAACCAATCTTTTAGCCTGCTTCTTCTCCAAAGTTCTGTATTGTAGCTAAGCTCAAATGTATATTTAACTTCTAGTTGCTCTTGCTTTGGTCTCCTTCCAACAATGCTTACTACAGAGAGCAAATCAAACACAAATTAGAGAAGCCTTTTCCATAAAGTGTAATTTAAATGGCTGCAAAACCAGCACCTGTACCTGCCCTTTCAAATGGCATGCTGAGGTGTGCAGTGGCCCCATCCAGCATGTGTGTGTCTCTATCTCGCATCTACCTGCTCCTTTGGCCTAGTCAGATGGATGTAGATACAGATCCGCATGTGTCTGTATTCAGACAGCTCTACTTAGAGATGCTACTGTCAGTGTCCTCAGGGCCCTACCAAGACATCATGCACTGGGGTACCACATGGTCCATTTCACGTGATCTATTTACTCTGACATAAATCCGTCTATAATATATTGCCAGTATATAAGCTGTTTAGTTTGTTAATTGATTAAGCTGTATGTCTTATAAGAAAACATGTAAAGGGGGAAACATGGGGGGAGTGAGCTCTCAGACCTTGAAGATGTAGCTTCCAAATTTGAACTGATTAAATGGCACCTGTATACCAATTTTAGAAAGAACATATGTGATGCTTATGTACAGTGCGTGGGGGGAGGGGTAGCTTTGAGGCTCTAACTGGTTCGGCCTTTAGAATGAAGGTGTGAATAGTGGCTGACAGTGAACAGGAAGCAGGGACTAGAGAGTGCTGTTGCAGTGTGGATAAGAACAGAGGAGACGATTGCACAGAGGCCAGGAGACACTGATGTCTGTATTTTAAAGAGCAGAGCCCATTTTTCATTTCTAAATTCCATGTCACAGCAGGAGGCTACTGGAGAGAGTGCAGGTGTGGTGGGTCACTGTGTTAACATTGTACAGTGAGAATCCTTAACACATGAGTTCCTTAACAGAAAAGGCGCCTGCCCAAGTGACTCAGACAGTGGGCTGATTTTTCCTGGGTGGGCTGCTTCTCAGGTTCATGGTCTGCCAAGGTTTTATTCTGAGAAGAAACATTGCTTTCCTCTTCTAGAATAAAGTTAATTAATTTAAATAAAGCCCCCAAAGCACATCTCCAAAGACATCATTGTTCCTCAGGAGTTGCCCTGACTCCTTAATAGGACTGCTGTTTTGTGTTTACTTATTTATTTCATGAATTTGAACAATCTAAGAAGGGCTGATAGTCTGAATTTTGTACTACAGTAGATGTGAGAGCAATAACTCTGCCCCTAAATCACTGCTGCGAAATCACACTAGCAATATGAGTTTGTCTTAAAGCCATGAAGCATAATGCCAATGTTTAGTGCAATCACCTGAATTTAACTTAAATCAAGTGAAAGTGCTTTCTCGGGCACTTCAGGAGGGACTGTGAAACATGGAGGTTATCTGACAGGGCCATCCCAGCAGGACTTCTCAGCAATAATGGCACCATGCTAGGCTTCCCTTCTTACTCACTTTGGTGAAGTATCTATCACTGTTATTTGCACTCCGGCCACTTTGGTGCTCACCAGTGTGGTGGTATTCACCTGAGGAAGAAGTAAAACATGGAAGGGACGGTTGATGAGTGTGATATGATCAGCACGTGGGAACCCCTCAGAAATAAAGCAAACAAGAACATCAGTGCTCTGAAAATGGCCTTAAACCCAACGGCAGGGATGCTCCATCTCTTTTGAAGCAATAGAGTCCATAGGGAACTGCACCCACTCCCACCTCCACCTGAGCAGCCACTGTTAAGGGATTGCTTCACTCGGTAGGGTTCATTGCAAGAGGTAACTTGTTTAAAATGCAGGGAATACCAGATTGTGCAGCTTGTCCCCTGGAATAAAAATATCCTACTCTCTCTCTTGCTACCATTCTTTTTGGTGAATATTGCAGACTTTTAAAAAATGTCTCCTCTTTCACATGTGTCTTCTCACTTTTTCCTTGTGTCATAGTCCAGGTTTGTTGAACTTCCCTTCTCTGTATCAATATTCTCTCTTTTCTCTATACTCTGCTCTTGATATATCTGGGGCCTCTTCACTCCTCTCCACTCCTCTGCTTTATACCATGCAGGCCTAAGTGCAGAGGTCAGGCAGCAGCTTGAAAAGAACCCATCTAAGGGGAATTTCATGAGGTCCATGAGGACAAGAGGCAAAAGGAAATCTCCGCAGCATCTCGGAAGCTTTGACAGTCAGGCTGTCTCTCATGTCTGCTCACCTGGTCATTTATTTCCTCAGAGTAGACCAGTCAAGAACTACACAGTTCCAGGTCCTTGCTGTTGGTGCCTTCCCTGGGACCTCCTCCTCATATATTTCCTTTTGCATGACTCTTGGGGGCCTTTAGTCAGTGGTCCCCTATGGACGGGAAAAAAAGAAAGAAACAAATCCCTTGGATTTACATAGCATTTACAAATAGAGGTAAGAATTTGAACTTCTGGCAGGATTAATTTTCCTAGGTGATCAAAGCAAGATATACTGGGAGATGGGACAGCCAAGAGAATTACCCCTTTAAAAGCCTGTTGTCCTTCAGGATCTTAGGAGGCTTTTGTTATAATAACTTTTAAAAAATGGTTATGATAAAATTCAGAATAGATTATGTCCAGCATTGAGTTTTCTTAAGGAGCAAAACCACCACAATATTCCCTATATAGTCACTTGTTATTTCCAAAGGATGTTCTTACATTCTGGGCAGAAATGGCAAGTCATCCAGGCCATATTTCTGGAAAAAGGGAAGGTTCTGCCTCTGGTGGGGCTCACTTTGGAATACGAGTTAGCACTCTGAGGAGTCTAAGCTTCTGTCCTCTCCATAGGCCACTGGCTTCACAGGGATCCTTGATAAAATGTGCTGTAGTTTTCCCCAGAAGGGATGGGTGTGTACGCATGTGCAGGACCAATTAAATTGTTATGAGAACTCAGCAAAACCAACACCAGTGTAGATATGTCATTGCTATTTTTATATGTGTTTTGTAGACCGGTGTGTTCATTTTACAAAGGGATACATTGGCCTTCCAACAAAATTTCTTCTTGTGGAATAAAAACTGAAAATAATATTTCATCTTCAAGAATCAAATGTTTGGGCTTTCTTGAATGTAGCTCCCAGTTGGTCCAGGGCCAGGCCAATTCCCATCCACTGGAGGAAGATATTTAATGCATGGCAGAGAAGTGGGATACTTTTCCTCAAACTTTTATCATTATTGGAAAAATATTATCTAAAGATAGTGACGACTACAGAGTGGCAGATTAGAAAATTGGTCTTGGCAAATGTGACAAGTGGAATAGATAAGAATAAATCTTTTTGTGACCTGTCTGGAAAAGTACAATAAAGCTGATTTGTAAAGTTTTAAATATTCATTGTAGAACTTAAATTATACAAACTATATTTCTATTTAATTCTCTTAACATATGACAGTCTGCATCTTAAAAGCATCATGCTCTGAAAAGAATGTTATCAATTAGCTTTGCTGCAAAAAATATCTTTTACAACTCAGTCAGAGTATTAAAATTGCTCTAGGAATTTTTGATTCTGGTCTTGCCTCTGGGTCTGAAGAGGAACCAGCTCCCTGCTCAATCCTCCATGTACGTTTTAATTATAAAAGCCAACATTTTTCACAGATGTCACTAAACCAAGGGAAGTCATTCATGTAAAAACAACAAAACAGTCACAATGTAAATAGTTATATCAATTACTTTCCTTGTGATTAAAATATAAGATTTCATTACTTCTTTTGACACTTAGTTCTTTGATCAAACTGAGGTGGAAGGCCTCTGTTTATACATGGACTCCTGTATATCTAGATTTCAATTACGTGGGACCGATGGCCAGTATACCCTAAAAGAATTAAGCTCCCAATCTGTCATTCTCTGTTTACCTTGCCATGTCCATCTTGCAATGATGCCTAACTTGCCTGTGATTCTGCATGATTGGACACCAAAGACCATTACCAATGAGAATTGTCCTGTGTCAGTGTTTAGTACCTAAAGCACACGCATACACATACACATACATACATATGCAGACACACTCCCTTGCTGTTCTAGGTCAACTGTGGGAGCCAAAACCACGTAGGTCCTGTTTCCTTGTGAGAACTAAAGTCAGCCAGCGTGGTGGATAAAAATAATCTCTGTGATATTTAACAAGGATTTGAAATCATTCAGATCATTTCTGTATTCTTTCTCACATTCTCTGATTTCTAATTTTTGCCCTTGATTTCTGAAATGCTTGTGGAACCAAAGATGAGTTGGAGGAGAACTGTGGCTTCTTTTGACTCTTCATAGGTAGAAGCTGAGCCAATATATTGTGATTTCTGTTTCTTATGAATTATTAAACCAGAGGAATATCCTCCTAATATAAAACCAAATCCAAACCTAAATTTTATTGGAGTTTGCCTTTGCTCACGGCCTCAGTGTCACACACTGACCATGTAGCTCTGGAGCATCTCTGGAGCTTATGTTTTCAACCCTGGGGAAGAACCTTTCTGTGCGTTCTGTTCCCTGCGCCAGGGAATCAATAGGAAAGAAGGAGTGGCCTACTTTTTCACCATGTCCAAGCAGGTGCCATATGAATGTGACCATGTCGAAGGCTGTATTTTTGAGACTGATATCTTCTAAACATTACCTCCATTTCTCTCTGCTCATACCAGTTGTGTATCTGCCATTCAGTAAGTTTCCTATAATGTATAAAATGAATAAAAGAAAAAAGATTTTTCTGGAGACATTAAGTAAGGAGAATATGGTTAAATTTCCTAGGTTAATTACCAGAATTCTTAATTATTCTAATTATTATCTAAGAGAGTGATTATTTGTCTATGTGGTAGCAAACTTTAATATTTCAGATTCCTTGGTGAACTAAAAATATGATTTTGTGGCTTGATAAAGAGGTCATTGAACTTGTTCTAGTTTTATCTGTCAGTGTCTGAACAATGTTGAGGATTTACCTTACTATTTCTGTAAACAATACATTTTATTTAATCCATTAACCATGAGAAAGTCTGGAATATAAACACAGCTATTTTTTTGAGTTATCAAACATATTTTTATTTATTTAAGGAAAATACAGACCAACAGTCTTCATCATCTTTGGAACAGCTTCTATTTCAATTTTGATCACAGATCTTTACTTTTAAAAAAGTTAAAAATGATCAAGTGTAACTACTAGAAAACACCCACGAGTACAAAGGAAAATTGTTTTCCACAAGGTGATTCTCCTTGGAGAGAAGGAGTCAGAGGAGTTATTAGTACATTCCAGGTGCCACAAAATGTTACCAAATACGTGGTATTTCTGGTCAACTTTGCAATGGGGAAAAGTAAGAGATGTTGGGCCTTGCTGTTTTGAAATGACTTATGGAGCAATCAACCTTTTTTTTTTTTTTTTTTTTTCTTGGTACCGGGTATCGAACTCAGGTCCTTCCACTTGCATAGCAGGTGGCGAAACCACTGAGCTAAATCCCCAGCCCTGGAGCAACCAATATTGAAGGATGGAAGTGATTGCTCAATAACATCACTGGTTGTAGCCAAGGTAGAGGTTTTGGATATTACTAATTCATCACAATGGTATTTGTACCATGCCATTTCTTCAAGAGAGCTGAAAGGTGTGTGTGGATGGCATAGGCAAGTCATGGATCACACATGCAGAAATAAGGCAACACTCCTTTGAAGTTTCATGGTCCCCTATGTCAAACATTTTCTTTAAAAATGCCTTTTTAAGTATAAAGCACAACATAACATAAGCTTAAAATGCAGTTTAGGTGGTTCCTGTTTCACTCTATGGAGTGGAGAGTTTCACTTCCATGTCACTGAGCTTCTGACGTTGTCCTTCACTTGACTTTGTCTGGAATCTTTCTGTCCGCAATAGTCCATGTTGATTTCAACTGAAAAGCGGGTACAAATTGTTACTCATATTACAAAACCACTACACTCAGCCTAGAAGTCTGTCCCACACAGAGTTTGTTTTCCATTTATATCTTCAGATTCACAGTAGTGGAAATATTGTCTATAAACAGTTATACATAAAATAAATTTTATAATGTAAATAACATTTTACACAGATGAAAGGAATTAACATTAAAATAGTTCTTTTATTAAAAACTTTCAAAAAAATCACCTCTTCCTCAAAGTTCATATATTACAAACTTGCATTTGGAAAAATTAATCTCTAGGGAAATTTCAAGTTTAATTTCTGAGTTGTATTCTAAAGCTGCTTATCAGTTCACTTCAAAAGCATTTATTGAACACATCTGTGTAGGAGACATATGGATATGGGCTTACCTTTAAAAATTCAGAGTAAATAAATCCTTGTATAAAACTATGTGGTTAAAGCAAAATAGCTTTATCTAATTTATTTATTTTTAAAATAATAATGTGTTTAATTAGTGGTACAACTTGAATGAATCCATAATTATTATTAGGCCAAAACAGTGACACAAGAAATCTGGTTCATCCAATGTTCTCAGTTTGCCTAACTGTATGTAAGTACATTAAATGAGTCAGCATAAGAGAATTTTGGCTATTAACCATTACATTATGGCAGATATCATTTTTACAATTTATTTTAAAAACCTGGACTGGGCGTTCTTTTCTGTATTGCATGATGTTTGCTTTGATACTCACTTCCTCTGAGAGCTGTTGTGGTTGGATGCTGAGCTCATACTTCTGGCATCTGCATCTGCACATCAGCAAATCCCCTTGGGTGTTGGAGTCTCTGCAGTGCCATTCTCACATGAAGCCCATCTGGGAAATGTGTACAGGTCCTGGTGACAACTGAAGTTCTGAAACAATTTAAGATCTAACTCCATCATTTACTGTTTTCTATTAAAAGACTCACCCCAGAACCTCCCTGAACATCTGACCCTGAAAATTTACACTCTGTTCTAAACATTCACTCATAATTTACACCACGGATGCTCACTGAGCACTTCTATCTTCCAAGGAGCATTCTTGGTACACATTATTGTGATGAAGTCAGCACTCATGCCGTCATGGAATATACGGCCAGTGGGGCATAGGATAGTAGTAAGTACTAAAGGTACAAATCAGGCCAAAATGATAAGGCATGAAAAGACATGGTATTTTAGAAAGGAGATGATATCTACACAGAGGCAGGAAATAAGTCTCATCCACACCTGAAGAAAACATTTCAGACTGAGGGTAAAGCAGGTGCCAAGGCCCTGGAACAAAAACTTGCTTGTACAGCATGTGCAAAAGATGCATGTTCCAGATTAAATAGAAGGACAAGAAAAGTGTGGCAGTAAATGAAAAGGGATCAAGGGGCAAGTATCATAACATGATAAGCTCTTGGGATTTTATTATAAATATGGGTACATGGTTAGGTTTGAGCAAGGAAACAATACAATCTAAATCTTTTTAAAAGAATTAAAATTTGGCTGTTGAAGAGATAAAATTCTCAGGAAAATAAGAATGGATACAATGAATCCAGTAATTATAACATAAACCCTGAAAGGCATGATGGAGTATGAACTAGGAACTGAAGGTGCTGAGAAGCATTTGGCCAGGATATAGTTAAGGATATATTGTGAAGGCAGAGTTGACAAGATCTGCTGATGGACTGGTACTATGACATGAAAACATAAGAGAGATCAGGGATGACTAACTATTTTTACCTGAGCTAAATGATGGTGAATGATAAGTTAAGAGGCTATTTGGGAATAAAATCAAGTTTGCTTTTGGTATGTCAGCTGGAGATGTTTATTACACATTCAGGTGAAATAGCAGGATTTTCTACTAGACTGGAGTTGAAGGAAGAAGTTCAATTGAAACACAAATCTCAGAGTAATTCACTTATAAATAACATTAAGAACTTTCAGTCTGTATGAAACCTACAAGAACAGAGTGTAACTGAAAAAGAGGATAACAAAGGTAGCGATGCCTCTCATTTCAACACCGAGACATCAGAACCCAGG